GTTTCAGAAGTACCTCCATCTTCAGACACTTACCCGTATCATTGGAAACAAACTTACCCTGGGCTCTCATTAAACCAAGAATTTCCAAATAAGTTTAACTTTATTGTTTATCACACATACAGTACTTAAGAAGGAACTTAACAATTCAGAAATATTGACCTCATACAGTCTGTCAAGAAGACGAAACCATTCAACAGGTCAGGTCAGACTTGCAGAGAACTGAAACCAGCCAATGCAACGGAAGCCAGCAGGACCCTCAGGTCCTGAGGTAGGACCTCATTCGAAGTCCACTGTAATTAAAAGAAAGACTTCATGCAACTTGAATGGGTATGGGTGAGAATTCAGTTCTGGTTTAATTATCTGACTGAAATGATACCTTTAAAGATGAGAACCATAGCATAGCTTGTCTTGAAATTTTTCTTTGTCTCTTATCTGAAATACCCACATATATTCTGCTTCTCCGATCTGAAAATTTCACATATATTCTGGTTCTCCAGACTATTTAGAATGCAACTTAAAAAAATATACAACTTACAATCTTGTAACTGCCCTTGTGTACTTCTTTACCTGTAACAGAGGCGTTATAAAACTTGGTGAATATTTAGGATGGGTTTTCTTTAGCCAACTTAGTAGCACATTTTTGCACTTCACCTCAATTTCAGAGAATAAGACTTAGAAATATATTTTTATATTTAGAAACAATGCTGGATTTGCATACCTTAAGTTGAAATTGAAAAAACAGTAAATATATTTCTTTCACAATTAGAATTCTTGCCCGTAAAAAACACATACTGATGGAATGGGGGAAATTGCTTTTCTTGAAGGAGCTGAAGGCTTATATTAAAATCCATAGCAATGTATCACAGGGTACCAAATTAGTAGACATTTCAGAAGAGAAAGGGAATTGAAGAATTGCAAGCAACAATCTATGTTTTAGGCATCAGATGGAAGGTGCAAGGACAAGCCAAACATGTGGCTCTTTAGAATACTAAGCATCTAATCTCAGATGCATGTGACATACAGATTTTCCAGAAGAAAAGTCCCTGTGAACAGCAACCTGAACTACCAATGCCTGAAAACTGCTGCACATAATTTTAGAATAGAAATATTGTGTAAATATCTGGGGAGGTCAATTAAATACTGTAGCAAGGTCTGCAGGGAAGTGAGTGAATTCTCCATGTTTAGAAGTTTTTACATCAAAACATGGTATGTATAGTTAGAGATGCTACAACACAAGCATACGGGTGAGACTAAGAAATTACTGGTAAGAAATTACATTTTATAAAGGAAAGAAGACTACAATATCTACTAAGAAGTCATAAATCAAAGATTTCCTCTGAGATCAAAAATCAGTTAAAAATAGGAAATGGTAAGAATAAACACTCAGTTTTCACAGCAGTGGAGGTTAGCTGTGGAGTCCCACAGAGATCTCAGTTGGGGCCTGAGCCTGTTCAGTAAATTCACAGAAGTCCCTGAAAATGAGACACTACTGAAGTGGCAATATTTGCTGGTTATACAAAAGACATTATTATTATTACTACCATTATTTAGAAAAATAATTGCTTGTTTTCTTTACAAAAATATAAGCAAAGAATGTGATGAAATGAGAGGTGAAGTTCAATGTCAGCAAATGTAGTAAAGCACAAGGAAGGAAAAAATGTGTTCTACGTACACACATACTGGCTCTAACCTTGCTGCTGCCATTAAGGAATGAAAGTTGGAATCATTAGGTATTGCTTCATACATGCTTCATATACCAGTCGAATACTCAGCAGTGGTTGAAAAGGCAAATAGAAAGCAAGGAAATATTAGAAAAGCAATGCAGAACAAAAGAGAAAACATTTGTTTTGTTCTCCTTCAAATCTATGGTACATCCGCATTGCATGCAGTTCTGCTTCCCCCAACCCAAAGATATAGTAGATTGAGATAAAGAGAAGAACAATACATAAGAGCTCAAGGTTTTGGAAAGCTTCCGTTCAAGGATATTTAAACAACCCTGAACTTTTTAATTTGGAATAAAACATGACTGAGAAGCTACAGAGTGTGAATTCAAGATGGGCACACAGAAAAGGAAGGTGAATTCTTATTTACTATTGCTCCCCAAATAAAAACAAAGGGGCATCAAATTCAGTGATCTAGCAGTATGTGTAAAATAAACAGCAGAATTTGTTCACACAGTACATCCTGAAATTCATTGTACGTAATGCTAGTGTTGAAAAATGGGCAAGTATCTTTCAAAAGCAACTTCATAACTTCATGGGAGAAGAGCACAAACGGAGAGGACTCAGGAAGCCTTTCTAATGTTGGAAGCTGGGAAGCTACCCTGGAAAATGTATCCTTCTATGCATGAGGATATGCTCTATGCTCCCAAAGCAACTGTTATCAACCATGCTTTCAGGCTGAATACTGGCTAAACAGCTCTTCAGGCTGAGCCAGAAAGGTTATTCATGCGGCTTCAAAAGTGTTCCTTTGAGCCTTCAAATTGCATTATACTGTGGTAGTTGATGCTTCTAATGAACCTGAGACAGGACATGTGGTTCCTGTCCTTTAGCAATGGGAAAGACCAGAAGCCTTTGTTCAACAGCATAGTTGTCCTTTATAGCTGCCAAGGCTCTTTACAAAAGGACCTTCAGCCTCACAGGGCTTTTTAAATATGTCCTCAACCCTTCTGGGGATTAGATGGAAATTCACTGTAGAAGTTTTAGCCTCTGTTTCATCATCTGGGAGTCCCAGAGATAGCAAAAAACTAAGATATTTGCTTTTTTTAAATCAGGCAGTGATGACAGAAATGAGAAAAACAGACTGCAGTAATAACTGTAGCAGTGCTATTATGGGAAGGTGAAAGCTAGAGACAGCTTCCTAAGCTTTCTTGTCTGACAAAAGGGCTGAAGTGGAAACCATTACTGAAGACAAAAGTATTTATACTCTGAGTCTGTCAAAGGCAAGAGCTGCAGACATCTGTCTTCTTGCAGATGCTGCTGCTCTTAGAAGACTTCCTGGCCAGATGCCTAGAAACCAAGCTGGTAAACATTAGCTACATGGAGAGCAGTATCTGGAAGCAGCAGTAAAATGACTTCAGTGACAAAACTTACCTCAGAGCAGAAAACTCTTTTCTTCTCCATGAGCAATAATGACACCATACTGAAATATACCAGTTTGTTTCCAAAATTTATCCAGAAATAACCATACGGACTTACCAAAAGATACGTTTTGCTGAAATGAATTGAGTTCTAGATACATAGTGCAAATGTAGGGATAAGGCACAAGATGTACATCCCCATGTTTGAATCTCATTTTTGATACTCTCTGCCATTTACTTAAATCTGAGAATGATGTTAAGACTGACAAACGTAGCACTAATGTTTCAAAGGAACAGGAGTCCTAAGAATCTCTTCTTGAAAGGCTTCAAAAATTGTACCATACTAAACATCTGTATAATGGAGTAAATACAATCCTGGGCATTAGCTTTGTGAAAAACACTAGAAACACATTAGAAACAAAGCTCATCCAGATGATACTCTTCCATCAGTAGCCGATATTAAAAACGTGTTGTATTTCCTTACCCTTATTTGGGTCTAGTCCTGACATCCTTCCTCAGGCAACAACATCCCAGCCTCTTCCAACTGTATGAATAAAGTTTTACTGCCACTCCTTACTGAAAATTAACTACTTCTTAAAAATTGAAGTTGAACAGGGTTTACAGGAGTAGCATCATTACACATGTCATAGTTTAAAATGTGAAGTTAAAAGATAATTGATATTATAATAGCCATAGGTAGAGATGCTCCTTCGTGTGGGTGCAGCTCTGGACACCTATGAACTAATGCATGCAAAAATAGACAATTCTGGACAGCAGTCTCCTTACACACATCTAACCAAAAGAAGAAACAGGTAAAATGAACATTTTTAGTCTATTTAGTCATATTTAGTCTATTTAGTCATTTTTAGTCTATTTAGTCTAACTAGTAGAAACTAACATCCTGAGGAGTGAAGATGGAGTACAAGATTTGCCTAGATGAAATATTAACAAAATCAGTTCCTGTAAGATATGAAATTGCTCATTTGAATTTTGCTTCAAGGACCCCCACAGCTGGTGATTAACTAAAAGTTACGCTGTGGCTAGTCCTACACATAGTCAAGTTACAGGACAACTCTATCAAACTAGGCCTTCAAGCTTGCAGCTTTAATCAGGGCCCACTGCTGGCTAAGCATGTGGACAGACTTCTAAGTTGCAGAAATACAAATCTGAGAAACAAATAGTCCTCAAGCATGCAGGCAAAGCTGGTGGATCTTTAGTGAAGTAATCCAACAGTGAAGGCTGGAATTCTTTATCTGAGACAGGAGATTTCTCTACAGACCTTAGATCCTGGAAGAGAAGATCTACCCTCTGTGATCCCCGTTATGTTGCTTCAAAAGCCTGGGTGATTTGGGAAAGATTTGTGTTCCAGTAAGATTACAAAAAAATGCCCTTCATGTACCTCAAATATGCAGCTGAACTTTCCCAAGTGTCAAATTAGACACACAAACAATGCCAGAAGGTGTCTCTCATTTTCGCTGGAACACGTACTATCAATCTTACCTAAACGCTAGGAAAGTCTGAGGACCGAATTATTGTTACAGGATTTAGCACAAGTTGACTATACTAACAAAGTTTAATACCACACTCTACTCAGTGTGACAGTGACAAAAGCCATTTTAATGAAGAGATGAGCTGAACAACATGTTGCAAAAGCTTAGAGGAGGCATATAATCTCTAAAAGCAAAACAGTGATATCAAGGAGAGAGGAGGGAACCTTCACAGTGAAAGAAAAACTTGAATCAGTCTGCTTTTAATGCCATAAATAGTCTAAAATATTGGAGCAAGACCCTTTCAGAGGATGCAGAGTCTGGTTATAAACCCCAACTAGCGAACACTACCACTTAGACTCTTAGAAGCAACTCTCAGGAGCCAGCCTGAAAATGATCACATTTGTAAAGATGGAGATTCAAAGCACAGGAGGTGTCACAACTATTGGGTGATGTCATCAGATTTGACTTGGTTAGGGTAAGCTGCATCAAGAGAGTTATTCGAACCGTTGTGTGGTTGAGATCTATCAGGCAATAATCTGTTAATCAATCATCACCTTGTCTTAGCTTTCCAAAACTCTGGGAATTTTTAAAAATGGTGGAAGACCTTATATCAGTTCATGTACCCAGGAAGTAGGAATGTGAATAACAGGAAATCATGGCTTACTCATCCTCTGAGAAAAAAAAATGTAGTATTTCATTAATAATAAAAATGGCTCAACAAAGATTCTGCATCTGAAGAAGGTTCAGAGAACTGAACCTCTGACAAACAATTTGCATTCTGTTTGGGTACTTCTCCGATTCTCCTCTTGACTACTTTGACCTTCTGGCAGTAACAGGAATAAGCTGTTATGATATGTACCAACTTCTGACAGAGAAAGTCGATCTCATTCTTGCCTGCTTATACAAAGTGTGGCAATAATTTAGTCTTCCAAAACCTGAAATGGAAAGCCTAGGAAACAAATTGCCACACCTTAGGACTGAAAAGACTTTTCATTCAACTAATTTATTTTTATCTGAACCAAGAGCCTCAGACAGTAACATTTTTTAACTCTTTAAACTAAACTACAGCAACTGTGATAGAACCATTATTGTTAATTTAATAAGTGTGGAATATGCAACAGACATCACTGAATTCTGTCATGCTGCTCAAGCTATAAGAAGGAAATGAAGGCTACCTGGGCCCTCTTCATGCCTTCTGATGAAAGAGCATCTAAAAGGAGAAAGAGCCTTTAGTAAAACTGCTAGTCAGAATAATCCAAACTCAAATTCCTCAGCACTTACATACCAAAACTGAAATCCTCAGGAAACAGCACTCAACAAAACCTGCACATTTGAATATTCTAATATTAAATTCTACATACCTACGCTAAATGATGGCACAAAGCTTTTACAGAGCTATATTTCGATAAAAGGTAGAAGTGACAGCTGCTAAATGCCTCTGTACATTTTAGGGAGAAAGGGAAAAATCTCACAAGTGGTCCCAAAGGAATAAGGGGCAGGGGGAGCAAAATGAGGCAAATACTGGGTTGAAGAGACTTGCTTCTCTTTTATTTCTAGACTTCAAAGACTACATTAAGGATCAGGATAACTGTTTGACAAGTCTTTGGGCTTTGTGTATTCAAAAGTTGTCTGTATCAGCTCAACCACCTCTCCATGTAAAAATCACTCTCTGTGACGGTTTTTGCTTCTCCCAGACACCTATATGGGTCTGTAAGCGTATAATCACATTTGTTTCTGCCCAAGAAACAATTTTTGTACTACACATTCATCTAGGCAACATAAGAACTCTTCTTCTCTTCTTCTCATGAGAACACTACACTGTTCTCTCTAGGTCCAGCTCAAATGATTTCCTGTGCAGATGAAGAGGACCTCACAGATACCATCCATCCTCAGAAGCTTATGGTTGTGATTTAATCCTAACGTACCCTACAAGAAAACTATTGTAATCTTCTCTACTAGTAAGCCAAAGTTGTTGAGTCTATAAGGAATGTTTTATGTTTTAACATTTTTAAACAATGTGCTAGTTTTGTTTATTACTGCTTTAGGTGGATTTACTGTGACTCCATATATACTCTTTGACTTTTGTTTTCTCTGACTAAATCTGACTTGGACACTGCAAAACATTATTTTAAATCAGTTCTTTGGTGAAGACAAGCACTGAAGTGGATCCTCAGCTGCCGTGAAACTGTAAAGCTCAAAGGTGGTGTATTCTAGCTAAAGATCTGCACACTTCTAAATACAAAGATGGAATTAAGCAATGCCAAACAGATACAACTCATTGGATTTTTCTTTTATGTAGGAAAGGATACAGGGAAAGATAGTGAAGCGTTCTGTAGAAAACGGATGCAAGTCATCAAGATTTCCAAGGATTACTCGAATCGCTTCCTGCAAATGCCAAAAAAAAGAAATGAAGGAAGAATATTAACAATGTATTCTACTGCAAAGTACAGTTTCCAGGCTTGGGAAAATTTTAAAGTAACTTCACAGTTTGCGCGAATCATGGAATAACTAGCTTCTAGATACAGAGGACTTTGCTTATCTTCTTCCCCTTCTTCTCCTCACTCCCTCCACATGACCTTAAAGTATGCCACAGTTTTCACTTCTCCAAATTTACATTCATTAGCACTTTTTTTTTTTAATATTTCAAATAAAAGTGTTCCTCTCCTTTTCATGGCTCATTCCATGTTTCGATGAAAATTTTTCTTTCTTAATTAAGTGATTTTTTTTTCACCGTGATACCCTCCAAGTTTCCCATTATTCTTTTTTAGCATGTTTCGTTTGACAGAATATCCTCCGTCCCATATAGAACAACAGATTTGTTCAGCTTAACATTCAGCAGTTCTGAATGGTTCTGCTTCATATCCTACCTCTAACTCCTTGACAGTACTTTCAGTATTATCTAGATCATCAGCACTGCGAAACAAAGAGAGAGAGTTAGCCCCCACCTCAATTAAAGAGCAATAGAGCTACAAGCATTGCAAGAGCTTAAACAACAACAAAGCATCATAAACAGGGAACATCCTCATTACATAGATAAAATATTTGGCAGACAGATGAATTCTTAAAACTTTGGAGAAGAGTCCATTATTCCAGAAGAATTGTTTCTTTTGAGCTTTCTGTACTTTATGTGTTTTATTCACAACACATGAGAGATCTAATCTTTTCAATCCCCAGTAACCACTGTGATCACTTTTTGGACAAAGCAGCCTCAAACTAATTTGTCAGTCTTCTACCTATTGCTATCCCACTCTATTCAAGCGACTAAAAGAAGTGACTGGCAGAACTTATATCTTAATTTCCTCCACAGTGCAGAACTGTAGAGAAGTCGGACTTCATAGCATTGGAGTTCATCACCTGATGCTGGGAGATATGAACTGCCTGCACCAAACTTTGTTTCCAAGATATTAACTATATTCTTTGTGAGTTATCTTCTCAATAGTTTTTTGCTGCTAAGCATTAGTCAACAACAAAACACAGAGAGAGATAAGTCTAAAAAAAAAATTAGAGTCCACTAAAAAGTAAACAATCACATAATAGTGATTCAGAAATAAGTAATAACTAAGTAAATAAGTACTTATTGGAAATAAGTAAGTAAGCTGAAATGCAAATTATGCGCTGAGCCTTCTAACGAGAAGTCAGATTGAAGAAAAGAGTGGCCTGCAGATCTATAGAGCTCCAGTTCCTTGTTACATTGATCAGTACAAAAGTACTACAGAGGACATTTGCAGGTTTCTGGTCCTGAGACTTCATACTTAATTTGTTAGCTGGCAGGAACTTTGAGCTGATTGCCAAAACAATGGTTTTTGCAGTTTGGCAGCTTTTCCCATCTCATTTCCAGGACTAACCTGAGGAAAGGCTGGAGATGCCTCATTCTTTGAATCTTTAAAGGGGAAGGGACATGTGGGAGAAGGACAGGAATGAACCTAAAGCCCTGGTGATCCTGTTGCCTGCAAGATTTGTGCCATACATACTGGGGATCACAAACTACTAAGACCCCAAGGCAAATGCCAGTCACTAAATACCTATTTTATACATGTATGATCCTGACTGGGCATCTGGCCTTTATTGCTTAAACTACCATTAAAATTCTAGCAGAAGAAAATTGAAGTTGCAGAGTTGAAAACTTGCAAATCAGGTAACATGAAAATTCAGACTGCATTTAGAAGAATTCTGCCTACTCTGCATGTGCTTTCAGTGTGATACTGAACTGCATGATAATGCACACTTTCATTCTCCTGAGGGACCTCTGCCTTAGTGCATATGATGGGTACCACCCACTTACCAATCAGTGCTGAATATTCTGGGGCACCTAAAAGTCTTTTTTAGTCTTCATAAGTGGCTTAAAGACCTGACACACTCTTACTGTGATGATGGGAGCCTCTAGGAGATCTCTGTTTGCTGAGATCAAGCACTCCCAGCAACCACAACAGAATGGGGAAGATTTTCAAGAGCATGCTGGGACCGCGACACACAATGGGATTGCGTTTCACTCCCATGCCCTCAGATATGACCCCATTTTCCAGACTAATTCTAGCCAGGGAGACTAGTCCAACTACTAGGGAAACACTTATTCCTTTTGCCTTCTCTCTTCATAGCAGCTTCTGCAACCCTGTATTTCTCAAACTCCTAACATTGCCATTGAATTTATCCTTCAAAACTAAAACTAGAGCTACTGGTGCTTTGTAGTATTACATACTGCCTCCTCCTTGCTGCTAATGGCTGGGAGAGGCAAAAGCATAAGTCACGGTCTGATAGACCTACAGCTTCCTTTAGAATACAGATATTATGCTCCATGATCAGTTCTTCATGGTCCAAAAGGGAAAGGGAAGCTAACAACAATAAAGCAGAGAAATAGCAGTTTTCTAGTAACCAGGACAAATTAATTTATCTACATCAAACTGCATATTGTGTTCAACTTCCACGCAAGGGCTGGATGCCAGAGTTGAGGTAACTCCACAGCCTAGCACTTTACAACTATACACCACATTACTTGACAAAAGATTAACAAACTTACTTTGCTTAATGAACGTGATGAATAAAAACTTGCAATTGCCAAAATCTTATTTTGCATTCTGGATAAAAGACACATGTTGTAAGAAAGATCGAAGCAACCTCATCCTACTGGCTGTGTCATCTTTGACATTATGAGTTGAAGATCTGCAGACTACAGCTGTGGTGTGCAACACAAACTGCTAGAGAAATCAGTGTGTTATGCAGTCCAAATGTACAGTCAATACATTGCAAGCTAGTATCCAGATCTGGGACATTTAACAAAGTTTCTAGAAGAAGAGGCAATCCAAGCATGGTTTTACAATAACACTACAATAGTTCTGTTCATGTAGAGGAGTTTACAGGCTGGGACAACTCTGCCCCACTGTGTATAAGGAGTTCCTTTTGCTATATTTGACCACATCAACGCGAAGGACTGATTTGATGAGCTCACTGCCAATTCCAGCTGCTATTACAAAATGTGAAATCTGCTGCAAAATTCTTATTTCCTGTTCCTGTAAGTATAATGATGGATTGTAAGAACTGATGTTGCAATGCACAAAAAACCTTGAAACATGCAGGGGAAATGACAGGTTGCCAAAATTGTAGTGCTGTGTTTCCCATTATGAGATCAAACACCTTCAGGCTGTTCAGAAACACATTGAAAAGCCTATGTACACTACTGGTAGTGCCTTTCAAGGGGATGACACTGATGGAAAGGGGTTATTCACAGACATAAGCAACATGTCAGGGATCTTCTGAACACTACACTGCCAAAATACAGACAACACATCTTCCTCACCAAAATTAACAAGAAAAACAAAGCAATGAAAAAGGGTAATCTTCCTGGATCTGATATTCCAAAAAAATTCTGAAAAGCAAAGTAAAAGTTAACAATTAAATTTTAATGCATCCCAAAATACAGTCATGCTACAAACTTTCAAAGAGCATTCCATTTTCTACAAGGCAAAAAGCAGACAAATGCTGCATGAAATTCAATGCAGCTGCAGGTCTAGGGACAGTCTAATTGACATGATAATCACAGCATGTTCTCTTTAATTCTTCTGCACTTAACAAATTACTTCCACAATAAACTTGGGACTCTGGCAATGTCTGTGCATATCTGATTGCCCAAGGAAATTCACTAACACGAATAAAACCACTCCATAGGGAGATACTTGAAGGAATCATTGTTTATGGCATCTTAGCCCTGCATCATTCTCAACGGAATCAAACATGGTTTTCATGACAGCACAGTACTGTTCTCTTTCATTGATGCAGGGATATTTGCTGACTCAAAAGGACCTGAGACTGCAACATCTGAAAAGAGATTTAATCTCAATAACTCACAAGGCTTTCCAAAAGTCTGTAAAGGCCTCACGCTTAACTACTGTCTGCTGATGATCACAGCCTTGAAGTATGTACACAAGGGAGCCAGATCATGCTAACTGAGCCATTGGGCCTTTTGGTTATTTATCAGAGGATGACAGTAATAGAGCACAAACTTTCAGACCAAGTTTGAGATCTATAGAACACTCCTTGGCAGGACACAATCTATAACCATCTGTTTTGAGTATTATCCTTAAACCTGAGCAGCTCTGACTCCTTTTGTCCAAGTAGGTCAGACTCAACTGATTTACTAGAGTCCACAGTCTTGGGCATTCTGAGTCTTCTCTTAAATTCAAAGCTCCAATTAGCTTGCTGATCAAGGTATTGCCCACGCACAAAAGCACTTGGTCGTCATCTCTGCACATTTGACTAGCAGGTACAAGCAGATTCCACCACGATCATACCCTCAGGGAATGTATTTTCTTTCACTTCTAAAAGATCATTCTCTTTACTTCTGTTACATCTTCCTCATCTGACCAGACTAAATCAGCACCCTGTACTTTAGTTACTTTGCTGTCTACTAAGCATAATTTCCTATCTGAGGCTCACCACACAACTGCTGCCTCCCACAATTCTCCTGTTCATTATCTTTTCACCCTGAAAGGCCTTTTCCTTTCTCTTCCTTCCTTGCAGGCCAGCAGCAGCAGCAACGCTGAGAGCCCCTTTGTTCTCATTTCTCAGGCTTGCCACTACAGTATCTTCTGCTAACTGAGAGAAGCAGTTATCAGAAGAGTCTTTCTCAGACCCTCTACCTGCAGGAGAAGCATGCTGTTGTTTCAAAACATCAGAACAGTTTCTTTGTCACCAGCATATTCGAAATAGAGGTGGCAGTGGAAAGGGAAGCTTGAGAGAAAGTATACTGACTGTTGAAAAAAACCCTACTGACAGGAGCCAATGACAGCTTCCAAGGACTGCTTATCTGAACACCCTTGAACGCATGACTGCAGGGCTAGTGAAAGGCATGCTGCTAACAGTAGCCAACTTAGGAAATAGCTAAATTACACACTTCGAGTCTGAAGCACCAAGTAGGTAAAAGTAGCCTATTTTTCACACATCTGATTTTTGGAAATGATTGAACGCTTTTGAGCTGAAAGTTAAAAATATATACATTTGAGGCAGGCAATCCACATGTGGGAGTGGATTCCTCCACAACAGGAGCATTTCCTAAGACTCAAATTATTCCCTCTGGCCAATGTTACATGTTTGCATCAAATCTGAAAGTTAAACAGACATTTTTAAGTGACAGGAAATACCTTAGGAACTCTGAAAAAAAGTGGTAATAGTCAGCTGCAAGTAGATAGGCAATGAGGAATTCCCAAAATCTCTATTTAAAGTCTTACATTAACTACAAGTGATTATATGAGGTCATCAAACTAAATGTTGTTTTTTCAGCTCTAACATGCTTACCTGTTGAAGTTGCCATACCGGATTTTAAATTTATACACGAGTCTACCCGCATGAAGAAACCTTGTTTCAGGTAGTGGATATGTAAATGGCTTTAATGGCATTTTTTTCCCCCTCTCTGAATGCCTGCCTAGGGAAGCAAGAGAATTAAAGGTAAATTATTAAAACCTTTAACCAGATCTCATTCTGTCACATCTCATTCTGTCACAGTGTAAGAAAAAGGTGATTATAGGCAAATTTTCCTCTGGAGGAGATTTGCATGATTCTATCTGTATCCTGGAACTCCTTGACTCTCATCTATGAATGCTGCATTTTCAGGGCAGCAACACTACAAAGAACACATGAATGTGATTAATGGTTAAATTACTAAAACTAGACAAAGTGTTATTGTATATATCATACAACCTCATTCAAAAAGTACAAGCTGATCTGAAAAGAATATATAATTAACTCTGGTGATCTATTGCTGCAGTGTCAAGAGAACAGATTTCCTACCAGTATCTGCTATAATAATAAGCAACCAGAAAATCATTTCACTGTTAGTTCTAAAAATTAGGAAGATTTTGAGCAGGATGAGAGGACAATCTCTCATCAAGCTGATGGTTACACTGCCTTTACCATACTTCTCTGTAAATGCAACTACCAAAATACTTGAAGCTTTGCATACTTCTTGCCCTGCAGGCTGGCAGAAAAATAAAGGATTGTATTGTACCCTGTGACTGAGACCATGACTTGATGGGAAACCACATGTTGCTGTGCATCTGCGCTTCTCTCTGTGGGTATAACTAAAAGAAACTATTGCTTTTTCCTTAAAAAGCACACCCACCTTGCCTTCCTGGTTGCCCCCGACCTCCCCCTCACAGCAACGAGGTGGAGGAGGTCCCCTCTGCTGTTGCCCACGGGCCCCGAGTGTAGCTAGCAGGGACGGGAAGAGGGGCTTTGGCAAAGGACAGGAGTCTGAGGGACAGCTCTGGCCCCTGAAGACTGCCTGCGACACGACAACTCTCATTGCCCTCCTTCACCTCAGCCCTAGTCCCGGCGCAGCAGCGACATGAACACTCGGGCGCAACCGCGGGCCTGTCCTGCAAGGGTGCCTTTTCTGCGAGGCGAAGGAATTGAACGCCTCCTCGAGAGCGCCAGAGCTCCTACAAGGCCCCCCCAGCAGCTAGGCCAGGAGCAGGGGTGTGGGGGCTCTGTCACGGGGGCCGGTTGTTGGCACCCCCCACCCCGTGCCCTCGGCCAGGCCTGTGGGGACGAGGTGCACGGCAGCGCTGGGAAGGGGTGCCACACCACGTCGCGTCTTCTGCTTGCGGCCTCTGCGGGGAGAGCAGA